TAGGTAGGTAGGTATTTAGAGACAGGGTCTCACTGAATTGCTTAGGGCCTCATTAAGTTGCTGTAGCTGGACTTGAACTTGAGATCCTCCTGCCTCAGCCTCTGGGTCTATTGAGATTACAAGTGTGTGCCACTTCACCCAGCAAATGGTCTTAAGTCTGGTTGAGTAAGACGGCTGGCAGGTGTGCAGCCTTGGCTAATGAAACAGAAAGGGTGGCCCAGGGCTGTCCTCTCCCACCGTCCCCCGAGACGTGAGCGTCTCTCCTGTGGCTGCTGGCACCAAGCACCACAGGCTGTGTGGCCTCAACAGCAGCTGGAAATCTGTTCTCAGTTCTGTAGGGTGGACGTCTGAGATGAAGGTGGGCCAGGGCCGCGTCTGCCCAGGCTCGGGAGGAGGTTCCTTCCTGCCTCTCCTCTCTTCTTGTGGCTGCAGGGTCCTTGGCTAGTAGCTGCGTCCCTCTGGTCTCCACCCCTGCTGTGATGTGCCATCTTCCCTGTGTCTCTAAGTCCCAAACTCTCTTCATTCTCTTAGGTTTTAGGCCCATCCTAATCTAGTATGGCCACTTGTTTTTTAATTAAAAAATTAAGTATTTGTGTAATAATTGTCAATTAAACGTGAGGGCACAATGTGGTGTTTTGGTATGCATTTGCATGATAGAATGGTTAAATCAAGCTGATGAACACATGTAAGACCTTATGTTCTTAACTTTTAGAGTATACAGTGTGAACAGTTAGTATTTACTCTAATTTTGAAATATAATTTATCATGAACTGCAGTCGCTGTGCTGTAAAATAGATCTCCATAACTTACTCCTGCTGGCCGAAACCGTCTGCCCTATGAATCCTGCTTGACTAATTGCATCTGTGAAGACCCAATTTCCAAGGAAGGTCACCTCTGAGGTTCCAGGTAGACATGCCTTTTATGGGACAACCTATTCCACACAGACCAGGGATCAGCCCATTCTCTGATGGCTCTGTGACGGGCTTCGGGCACTTGGTTAGTGTGGAGGGGCGTTCGTCTGGTACAAGTGAGAGGCGGGAGGAAATGAGAGGAAGCCAGGGGAGGTCCATCCTGGCAGAAACAAAAGCCCATTTAATTCATCTGGAGCCTCGGAGCAGCTGCTGCATGCTTCGTTTGAAATATTCATTAAGTGTCTACCAAGGAGTTAGGGATACTGTCTCCTTATGCAGAATTTAACATTTGCTTGGTTAGCAGGTTCCGTCGTATTTATAACTGTTCTGACACATTCATTTCAGCTCGTAAGTCTCTTATAAACGGGGAAATGTGTTTTTAACTGCTTTTGGGAAGCAGATGAGGGGCCTGGGTGGCAGCAGCAGTCCGCTAGGCTTTTCCTGCCAAGATTTTATCACTCAAGGATTTAGGAGACTGCTCCTGGGGACAGGCAGCCTGGTCACTTCTGGCACTTTTTCTGTTATTCTGTTTTGCTGTGTGTGTGTGTGTGTGTGTGTGTGTTTTCCAGAAGCTCTTTAACCTGGGGAAGCACACTGTGGCACTTTGGTTTCCAGTGATGAGGGTTCGTAGGTGGCTGTTCTGTGTATTCACCCCCCTCCAGTTTTTTC